GCACAGCAGTTTCTGGGCTCTGCTTTCTTTGAGATGGACTTTGTCTTCTGGGCAGTTTGTTCAGCGTCATGGGGGAAGCTGCAGGGAAACCACTTAGGAACATGAGTGTGCCTGCTGCTGCCTGGGGAGGATGAGGAAAAGGATAAGGAAAGGATAAGGATAAGGGAAGGGGAGCCACAGGAGACCTTGACTTCTGGGAAGTTTCTAGTAAGCTCCAGCAGGTTCTGATAAGCTATAACAGCTGCCCCTGAGGAAGCAGAGCTTGCAGACACGGCTCCAGCTGAGCCTAGGTTAGGGAGGGGCCAGCACATCTTAGCCAGTGCAAGGCAGAAGCCTATATAAGAGCCAGGTTTGGTTCACAGGTATTGCAGAGTAGCTGACAGAGGCAGCATTCTGGGCCGAAAGGTGGGTCATTTTGGTTTTTTTGGGGGGTTGTTGGGGGTTTGGTTTGTTGGGTCATTACCTCGTCTTAGAGCAGCACATGCATCCCTGTCACACCAAGGTCACAGCTCTGGCAGCTGTTGCAACAATCCTTTCTGCAATGCTGGAGGATATAGCCTGGTCAACCCTAAGCTGTAGAGGGTGTTCAGGGCCTCTTGCTGAGGCTGGTCCACCTGACTAGTGGCCTGCAAGAGGTGTGTGGCTGTACACGTCTTGGAGCTGTGCTGCCAAGAGGAGGAGCTGCTGGAGGAGGTCAGCAGGCTGCATGGCATCAGAGAGGGCATGAAAGATCTCAGATGAGATCTCTGAGACCCTACAGCTACAAGAGCCCAAACCTTCAACTATGGTGGCACCGAGTGCGCTTATCAAGTTCAAAAGTGGAAACGCCCTTGATGTGAAAGCTGCCTAGGTGACTCCTGGCAGCAGGAGGATGGGTCCTGCTCTACCCAAAAGCTTGCGGTTTTGGCATAGGTTCAGGGATGTCATCGTTGACAAGGTGCAGGGAACACTCTCCAGTCATCTGCAGGTGACCTCTGCCAGCAGGCTGGCTGACTCGGTAAGGAGAGCTTTAAGCTGGGGATGATGGGGAGAGGGTGGGACACAATAGGTGGAGTGGGCAAGCAAAGGGCTTCAGGGGGTGTGCACAGCAGGGACTCTGTTAATAACAAAACAGGAGTGAAGTGAGGTCCTTTCAGCATAGGAGCACAGATACGGCAGTGCCTGCAGGACAGCGTTGTCCCATCCATTTAAAACCTGACTGGCCACAGTCCTGTACAACCTGCTCTGCCTGCCCCTGCCTGAGCAAGGGGCTGGGCTGGATGATCTTGAGGTCCCTGCCAGCCTCGGCCACTCTGTGTCCCTGAGGCCTCAGCACTGTGGCTCTGAGGCACTGGGACTGTTGCCATGTTCAGGGAGCTAGTTTGGCTCCCTGTGCTGAGCAGCTAATGAGAGAGCAAAGCTGGAGCCCAGGAGCAACCCAAAGGCCCCCCGCAGTTCGGCTGCTGATCGTCACCTGCTCCCTCCCTGTTGGCCTGCTATCATTAGCTGCTCATGCTGCTGCGCATCTGCAGCGAGCATCTGTCGTGCCAGCTCCCTGCTGTCAGGCAGACTATGGCTGTTGTCCCCAGGCTGGGACTAGCGGGTCGTTAGGTCCGGGGTGTTGCAGCTGGGCTGACAAGGGATCCCAGAGATTTTCCCAGGGCCTGGGGAGGCCCTGGTTTCAGCAAGCTGTCAGCCCTCATCCCCCTCAGTGCTCCTAAACTGGAGTAACTCAGCAGCATCCTGCTCCTCCCCACCTTGTGGAGGGAAGAAGGCTCTTGCCATTGTGATGGGCTGAGACCAGGCTGAGGCTCCCAAGCAAGCTCTGGAGCTGGGAGTATGCCTGGGGACTCCAGATCTCATGCCCTGGACTTGTCTGTGAAGATTGCTGCTGGACACCCTCCCCAGGCAGTTCAGCCCTGCACCAAAAGCCACAGAACCAGAGCAGGCAGGTCTGGCGTGGCTGACCGGCAGTCTCAGGGACACTATTTGCTGTCCATTAGCAGGGAGGCGGTTGCATTTTCTTACAGTAATTGCTTGCTATTTGGCCAGTGAGTGAGCCAAGTGTGTGCAGTATGGCTCCCAGGAGAAGGCTATGATCTTCATATCCTGTCCTCACTTGGCAGGCTTGGCTGCAGTGGCCTGAGGCTGCTGAACGCCCTCTGCGTCCCCTGCAGGGGCTGTCTGTGGGGGCGGTAGGCTGGGACCACCCTGCCCGTGCAGGGCATGGCAGACATTCTCCTTCCAGCCCCGTCCTCCTGCCCTGAGGCAGCTCTGCAACCTCCCAGGGCGCGCCTTGCCAGACTTTCCCCTCCCACCCCCGCCCTCCTGCCCTGAGGCAGCTCTGCAACCTCCCAGGGTGACCAGCCTGCCTTGGCTCACACACCCTGGGAGCAAGAGAGGAAGCCTGAGCAGTGCCTCAGTTTCCTCAGTTGTCATCTATCTGCAGCCAGACTCCCACAGGGCTCAGGGCAAGATGCTGGTCTGGCCCTCTGCGTTGTGCCTGCGCTGTGCCTGGCAGAGCTGCGCTCTTGCAGCAGATGTCCACCTCTTTCTGGCCTCCCAGCAGTCCCCCTCTCCCCACTGTGGTTTCATCCTGGTTAAAATTAACTAGTTTGCTGGCTTGGCCCTGCTAAGACAGGGTAAGCCAGAACTCCTGAGGTCTCTGCCCATCAGAGTACTGAAACATTTTTCCAAACAATTTACAAGGATGCTGGAGAAGCAGAGGGTGCTTAAAAGCACACAGCAACCTGCCAAGAGCTCAGAGTAATTCAGGAGTAATTAATTGTGCAGCAAATGCATCTGCTCACCAATCGCCCAGCTCAGCTGAGCCTGACACAGCCTTTCTGCAAGGCAAGACTAAGCCCTGTGCTGCACTCCTTGAGGGCAGTGTACCCCAGAGCTCGCTGGTGGTGTTGGCCCTTCAGCTCTGACCCTTGGTGGGGAGCGACGGGCTTCCTCTGGAGCCCCAGGGTGAGCAGAGAGGAGACCCCTATCCCCCCCAGAGAAAACCCTTCCCAAGAATGAGGCAGCAGGCAGTTTTTTTGGTAAAGGAGACTTTAATCTGCTCAGTTTCTAGTCCGTAGTGCAAAGAGTTAAACTTAAGGCAAAGCTTTCTCTTTTATTTTTTTACACACAGGCAACAAACAAATAGGCCCTAAAACAATAAGCGTGACTGCTCTAATAAAAAAAGGGTCTGAGGGGAGAAACTGCGGTCCTGGGGAGGTGTCCTTCTTCCTTTCCCCCATAATTCACGTAGGAAATATTGTACCCTAAGATCCATGAGCTGGTCCTGACCAAACCACCACCTGCAGCCAGAAGCATGGTCACACTCCCAGTCCTGACTGTCTCCAAGAGGCACCCCCAGGGAAGGGTGCAGCTCCCTGTCTCCTCTTGCAGGACGATCTCTCCAGGTGCCTGGGAAAAGGTGGCCCCTGGGGAACCCAGCCTGTGGGTGTCACACTCACGGCTCTGCCACGGGCTTGGCCACTCAACCACAAGTGTCAGTAGCTGCAGCCACAGGAGAGAGCAAACATCAATATGGGTGGTGAGTGTCTGGGCAGGCCTAGGGTCAGAAGACTGAGAAATAGGGCTTGGGAAAGGAGCCTTGCATCTGCAAAGTGAGGTGGAAGCAGCTGACAGCGCTGAGGCCACACTCTTCTAATGCCTGTTAGTGCTCAGGAGGCCAGCTTGGTCCAGGGAATCACCGCAGCCCCAGCAAATCTGGGGCAACCAGCCCCTGCAGTGCCTCCCAGAAGCATCTCCCAGCATGGCCTGGCCCCTCTGCTGCCTCTGTTTTGGCTTGAATCGCTAATCAAGAAGGAGAACAGAGTAGGAAGACCGTGCCAGCCGCCCTCAGGCTCTTGGCTTGGGAGTCCAGGAGTCAAGACTCTTTCCAGTCTGGCTCCTGCAAAATTGGATGTGGCGCGTGGCTGACCTCAGGCAAGCAGCTGGAAAAACTTTTTAGTGCAAGGCGCTTGTGCAGCCCAGAAATTTCTTGGAATGGTGCTGGTTGACCAAGCTGAGATGAGCCATCTCAGGCTTCCTCAGCCAGGAATCGGACACCGTCATTATACTTTAGGGAATGCTTTTAAATAAAACTCACTACATTACTGACAGACAGCAAGACAAAACAGCAATGTAACCCTGCCCTAACCAAAGAGAGCCATGGTCCTGGTACTGCTCCACACATACAACTGTAAATCTGCAGCACAGCTATGCAGAACTTGTGCCTGGAGCTGGAATGTCTCAGTGGGCTCCCAGGAGCCCCGGGGTGTCCCCTCTCCCCCCAAAGAGTTATTCCCTCTAGCCAGCCCAGCCTGAGAAGGAGTAAGCAAGCACTGGTGTGAACCACCCAGTTCCATGGCACTCTGAGCCTGAAGAAAACATGTATTATCTTGAGAGGATTCTCCAGCATTGTCTCCGATGTGTGCTGCTGCTGCCTGGGCTGTGAGCACCGGCTGGCCAGCTGCCCCTGCAGAAAGAGTAACTCCCTCTGGTCTCCCCACGTGAGTAACCTCATGTGTGCTTGCTAGTCTTGCATAGGTGATGTGTGGAAGCAGCAGCAACACCGAGCAGTTTTCTGGTCAGACCTTGGGAAAAATTCTCCCTTGCCTTGCACCAGCCCCTGTGATTCCTGGGAGGGCACAGCCTTTAACCTCTCCATTAGCTATGGCTAGAAGGGACCAGAGCATCTTGCTGCACTCTGCTTTTGATCTCGGACTGCTCCAGGCTCAAGGCAACAGGCTCTGAAACAGCAAAAGTTGTCAACAAAATAAACCCAAACTCTTTCAGCCTGCTGCAGAGATTAGTTATTGTGCTTGCTAGCAAGTGCTACGTTCTAGTTAGGTAGCAAATGTGGCTAGCAGACACCCCCAACAGCCTTTTGCCCGTTCAGCACCATCCTTAGTTCTTTGGAAGCTGCTCAAGGCAGCCCTGGGAAGTTCTGCTTCCAGGCAAGAGGCAGAGAGGGGTGCCCTTGACCTTATGGGAAAATGACCCAAGCTACCCGCTCCTTGGGCTCACAAGTACACATTGAGAGTCTGAAGGATCATCTGGCGGCACAGCGGGCAGTTGCGCTGGTAGATGGCCTGCTGCAGGAGGACTTCCGTGCACTCCTGACACAGGCACAGGTGCCGGCACGGCAGAAGCAGGACTGTCTTAGTTTGGTCTTGACAGATGACACATTTCTTACGTTCCTCTTGTTCTTTCAGGAGCATCCAGGGGTCATTATCCGGAGTGCCCTCAGCATCTCCAGCTGCTGCGTTCAGCTGCTGCCTCCGTGGACCTTTCCCCCAGGAGGTGCTTGGTTCCTCCCTGGGCGGCTGGAGATGCTGTCCTGCCATGGCACTTCGACTCAGAGCAGGACGTGCTTGTGGTACCTGCTCTGCATCTGGCTGGTCCTCATGCTCGGCTGGCAGGTGGTCAACCCCTCCCAGCATCAGCCTGACGGGAGCTGCGGGTCTCAGGGCGGGCGCAGCTGCTCCGCGCTGGTTGCTTTCCTGGTTCATCGTTCTGCCTCCTTGGCTCCAGTTGGTCACCTGGAGACTCCAGTCCACGAACCTGCGCCATGCCTGGGAGGTCATGGCCATTCCCAGCGTCAGGACTGCCACCTGATAGAGCCGCCACACATCCCGCTGCAGGCGGTGGTAGGAAGGCAGCATGTTGAAGTAGCTCAGCACATAGCCTGTGAGTGTCCACAGCAGTCCGGGGTTGAAGACAAAGGCGCTGACAACAATAATGAGGAGGAGCAAGCCCAGGCCGTAAATATTCACAAAGAAGATGCTGACGAACAGCTCGGCGATGGAGGCCAGGAGCTCGAAG